ATCATTTTCCTTTTTTGTCTCACTTTTTTACCCGTTAACCACAGTTGGTGTTGACTAGGATGTGGTACTCCCACATCCTTTCATCAACATATGCCTTTTGTTATCGTACACTCACTCCTTCGTTCACTCACTCGCTAACTGCCACACTCACTTGAAAACATCATTAGACTTAGCGCAACCGCCTAATTCTAACAAAATCTCTGTATGATTGATGGTATTTTCGCACGCTAATATTTTATGGCAGACGAAATGTAGCGGCATCGTATACAATAAAAAGAAAGCGGATTGTGTGATTGTACTTCAAAGAACACTAGCCGTAGAATGTCGAGACTACCAGGACGGTGTGCTTAAGGTCATCAAACAAATGAGTTATCGTATGTACGCGCGATATCTGCTTTGTTTATATTTGTTCTAAAGAAAACAACACATGGCTTTGGCTCGAACGCCATTTTTTGACACAAGATGCGGCAACGCACAACAGGCGGGTTTTCTTGAGATACTTATGGTCATTTATAACAGTTTTTTTTTTAGCTCAGACAGAGAGCTTTACGCCCCTTTTCAATGGCGTCAGAGTTCCCATAGGAATTTTTTTTTTACTAAACTTCAAAGCTTTGACTTAATCTTGTAATTCCTAATTGTATGTAGTCAGTATGTAGAATTATTTAGGCAGACAACTGTGGCGTATGAAATACATATGTAGTTACTGAGTTCATAGAGCGAAGAAATGCATGGTCTTAAGAAGAAAAACTTGCAAAATATTTCGTATGAGTACTAAAAGCACAATAATGCAAATGAAGACTGGTATAAACTGTTCAAAACGTAAAAAGTTATGGTAAAGTTGAGTTGAGTTGAGAAACTGGTTGAAAGGAAAACTGGTATAAACTGGTATAAAAAAAAATGTTATGGTAAAGTTGACACATGCCAAACAGTTGAAATAAGTTCACACAGCGAAAACTTCTTGAATGGAAAACTGGTATAAACATGTATTACATGCATACATGTATTATAAACTGGTATTACACGCATACATGCGAAATACGTGAAATTAGTACAGAAAGCAAAAACTGCATAAAAATGAAACTGGTATAAACTGGTGTAAAAAATAAAATGCTAGAGAACTGAACAGATAAGTTGGAAATTATGAAGTAGCACGTTTTTTTTGAAAATTGGTACAAAGCTAGACTCAGCCGGCAGCAAAAGGATATGCTTTGTGGTTTTATTTTGCAAAGAAAAATGTATTTGGAATCCAATAAATACGGAAAAATCATAAAAAAACTGCATACAAATAAAACTAGTATAAACTAGTCTAAGGTATAAAACGCAAAAAAGTAAAAAATAACTTCAAGAGCTCGAAACTGGTGCCAAAATTCTGCTATAAACTAAAAAAGCGTAAAAAATTAAATTCAAGGCATATGAAATTAAACACTGATAGACGAGTTTATTTGCCTATTGAAAACAAAAGCACATGTATATGTATATCATCCATACGTATGTATCTCCAAAGAAAAACAATTGCTTAGTGGTCTAAGTTCCTTGTTGCTGTTTTTTCGTTCGGTAACAAAAAGGCGGAAAATCGCTCTTACCCATAATCAAATACACTTTTATTTATCATTTTGTATGCTAAAGTAATAAACAATTTGTTTTGATGGTTGTAAGTGAGTGTGCAGGCATTTGTTTGATACGCTATAGTGATTTGGCTTACCTACGCAGGCATTTACATACATACAACAAATACATTTACATATGTATTTAAATGTATACTTAACAGCGCTTGAACACAATTTTTGGTCGAACACATGCCAAGCCATGCGTGTTAAAGCTAAAAATCGAAGAAAAATCGACAGGTAGCGAGCGGTTATCCTACGCGATAGTATTCGTTACAAATGCATACAAATCACCAGAGAAGAAAAGAACAAACAAATCACAATTTGATATATGTATGATAATACAAAATGTGTTGATGTTACAAGCAGCAATGCCGCGAGAGTCTTACAAGCGTACGCTAAAACCCTTGAGTGCGGAAGAAATGCTCACATACACATGGACGCTTACGCAACTCCACAAAATAAATGTACATATACAAAACGGTGGTGGTGCTGGTCGTGGTCTTGGTGCTGGTCCTAGATGCTTAACTGCTGATATGCTTAATGCAAAGGCCATCCCCCTATTTGAGCTCTCACACACCTCCGCGCCCACTTAGCCTACACAATATGCTTACATACCAAGCAAGGTACACACTTAGGCGTTAGTTAAATTTCGACACATCCTTGCTGCCGGCTAAACTAACTATCGCCATCCGGGCTTCGATTTTTTTTTTCACCCCAACGGCCTCAAGCAAATCGCCTAAATAGATTGCTTGTAATTGATAAAGAGTTTTTTGGTCATACTAAATGTAAAAGCTTGAGTGCGCCTAAAAGTAGATAGCAATATTCATTTGTGTATTTCCTTAATTTAAGAATGAGTTTGGCAGCACTCTTTCTCTCTGTCCCTTAAAATTGTTGGTCGTAATGTTTAACGCCTCAAACGCATACGCATAAGAAAACAATTGCAAAACAAGTGACGCATACAACTATTAACCATTGTAGGCAATCCATGTATGTACAAGCGATTGAACAAGCCTTAATTTATCACTACAGCGCTGTATGTTTGTGCAAGTGAAGAATATTTCGTACTTTTTCTGTGCCTCTGTCAGGATTAAATGTGAAATATCGACATTTGATTTGCCAATACTGCTGCTTGCAGCGAGCCTCACACTAAAGCTCAGAACACTTTGACGACTGCAACTTCACGACGTAACGACAGCGACATCATTTTGTCGACAAATGTCGCCTTGAAGCCAGCTTCTTAAACATTTTGAAGACCTCAGCGACATAGCAAACAGCTGATTTTAAAGTTTGACATTTCGGTATATTTATTTCACAAATTGTGTATTTTTATTTAAGTAAATAAGAAAAACATGAACAATCAAGAATATGTGATTAATTTTGCGACAATTTAATTTTGCAGCACTACATCTACTCATTGTCGCCGGCAAAATTAGAAATAGATTTAATTTGGCGACGTCGACAATTGCAGTCCTGCAGCCAAGATGTCGTGCTGTCGTCAAAATAATTGTGTCCGTAAGAACGTGTGTATTTAAAATTTGACAGATGCTGCTTGTCGCTTGCTGTCGTCAAAGTGTTCCGAGCTTAAGCTGATTAAAATGCAATGCCAATTAGTACGCAAGCAGCCGCACGTACATACATACATACATACATATGTAGTTGTTCGGTGATGCGAGTAGGTAAAAGGTTTGAGATCAAATTGATTTTCTGGCATGCGTAAATTTCGTTTCAATGTAAGCCCATGAGCTGTGGGATAAGGATAGGCTATGGCAGCGAAAGGTCAAAACATTTTTCTTTGATGACAGTGTAAATTTGAGGATTTGAGTGTGTAATGGCAGCATTTAAGACAAGAAAAATTACCAAATTGTTGAAATAGGTTCAGAAGGGAAAAATCTGAGTGTAAACCAAACTGGTATAAACTGGTATAAAAAGAAAGTGACGTGGAGGTTAAGACATATGTTGTAAGGCAGGAAACAGTTATGTATAATACAAAGTGAACGAACTTTTGAAAACTGGTATAAAGTTGGAAGAAAGACTAGTATGTGTTTAAAATCTATTTCTTGTGCTCCAATATGAAAAGTGTACAGGTGAACATAAACTGGCATAAAATGAAAAGATGTACTTCCAATGTTCTTGCCTTTGGTTGCTAAAAATATGCCTGCCTCAATAATTTCAGCTGGATTACTTAGTTCAGAAGTGGCCAAAATTTAGTAAAACTCCTTAGAAATTTCAAGTGTCAGTTGGTATAAATTAAAAAAACTATCAGGGCCTGTATGATTTGGTTGCTCGATTTGCCATTGATGCGTAAACAAAAACTTACACAAAATTTTTGAAGTGGTCTAAACAAATGCAGCAAATAATAAGCTAAATGTATGAAATTAGCTTTAAAATAGCTTTATTTTGGTATAAATTGAAAACATATGAATTAAAATCGTTTCAAACGTATTCATTTGAACTGGTCGAAAATTATTTCTTAGCAAATAAGCCATAAAATGTGAAATTCCGGTCCTAGCAACACAAATTTACTACAATTTTTCATTATTTAATAAAATAGGCTACCTTGTTTGAAATGGGAAAAACTTACACCAATTTTTGGAAGTGGTATAAACGTAGAAAATAATAAATTTTTGGTTTTACACTGGCAATCTGTTACTAATGCGATTTTCCACAACAGCAATTCAAACTGGTCGAAAATAAATATTAGCCAATTTAAAAAAAAAATGCGAATTTTCTTCGTAAAAATAAATTTTAATTAGGAACTGACATAAATGAGTGTAAGCAGGTTTAAAAAATGGGAGCTCTGAACATATCTATTCCTTGTTGTTTTAATAGTTAAAAACAGTTGGGTGCAAGCATTTTAAGCGCATGGAATTGAACTGGTCGACATTGTGAATGGGTATAAATAGGTGAGCTAATGTGTTAAATAACAAAATTTCGATTCCAGTATTATTTTGTCCCAACAACATTTAAAATAAGTTAGTTTCAAGCATTTAAACGCAAACTGAGGATCTAAATTAACTCTTGCCAATTCAACATTAAAATGGTTAATTCTTACTCATACTACCACACATTTACTTGGACCTACACGCCAATTGCTAATTAAAATGCACGAATTTAGAATTTATAAAAATTTAAGTATAACTTTTGCTGGAAAAAAAGCAACTTGGAAAATTAATTTTAATTTTTTTTCTAAATTTCAGGTAATGTATATCTTTGAACACGAGGAGGGTCTCGCAAATTGTTTGTCGGGGGGGGAGGCTCAACTCAACGCCTACATACTATGCTTGGAACCGAGATTAACACAGCACACATCAACGCCCTCTGACGACGATTGCGGTGTGGCCGTCCCATGGGCTAAAACTCTTGCATGCAACATTTTGTTATATTCATCCTCACCGATGGGTCGCCACGAGCCCCTACGGTACGGTTTCGGTATCTGTCCGGTTTCCGCGTGATTCGATAAATTCATCACCAAATCCTCAAGCATTTGTGAGCGTGTACGTTCTTGCATGCGGGCAAATTTCGGTGCCGAATACGAAGCGCGCTCGCCGTTGACAATTTTCGTGAGTAGCCATTCGCTGTAAAGAGGAAAAAGAGAAGGAAAGTGAGAAGATTAGCGATCAAAATGAGTGAGCCAAAATGAGCATGAGTGAAATATAAAATTGAGCAAAAAATGCCTAAAAGGGGGAAAAAATTAGAAAAAGTGAGCAAGAAAAGTTAAAAAAATAAGTAAAAAATAAGCGAAAAAATTAGTGAGAAAATGAATGAAAAGTGAGTGACGAAATGATAAAAAAAATTAGTGAAAAATAAATGGGTAAAAAAGTAAGTGTGCTAAAAGTCGCATACTCACCGAAACATTGGCCCCTTCTCGAACACGGACTGCTCCCAGAGATACGGTTTGTAGGCGCCGACTTCATCGCGCGTCACCACCGAAACCTCATAGCGCGTCGGTTTGTGTTTAATTCGAGCCGAGACTCGCACCTGCCGGCGGTGAAATTGAATTATAAAAGAGGAAAGAGTGAATGCGGCGCAACGCAGAGCAGATGAGCACAGGTGAGTAACATACATATATGTCTTACCAGTATAAACGTATGTAGGAAATGAGATTTTATGCAGGCAGGACTAAAGCGCGTATTATCCGCTTCTAGGAAAACAACACAGACTATATCATTGCCTATATGTCGTTTGCGTTGTAGCTTTTGCGGGTCATGCTTCTCGTAGGGTAAGAGAGTGGATACATGAAACATAATCTCAATGTTACGCCAATTGGTGTAAACCGAATAGAGACCTATGGGTGTGCGGAGCGTGAAAAATAGAATAGAAGAAATTTGCCTGATCGTTTTTTTTGTGTTAATTATTTCTTATTCAAACTAACCTGTCAGATCATGCACCGTATCAAGGCCACCTTTGTATTTGTCGAAACCACGTAAACGCACACGATCGCCGAGTAGCGTTAGGAATTCATCGAAGAGTATGGAATTTTCGTTATTGTCTAAAATTTGCTCCTCCGAATATTGATCTTCTTTCACATAGATAACGCCAACTTTCAGTTCCGATTTTATAAAAACCTGTGGGCGTTGAGAATGAGTGAATTAAGGGTAAAACTTCTCCTAAAGCATCAAATGGGAGAGAAATTTCAAGCGACTCGATTTTCGACGCTCTTCAAAATTATACCCTCACAACCTTGCTTCTCTCTCATTGTTGATCTTTGTTTTCGCTCTCTCACACAACTCATACCTGATCTAATTTGAGTAGCTCCTCAGGCGTATCGGGTAATTGTCCTAATGTTAATGGTGGATTTAAATTCACTTCCTTGCCTAACGACCTAACTACTTCTTCGCGGTTATATCTGCAAAAAAATCGTGAGAATTTTCAATCACTACTTGAATCACCCCTTCCTCTCTCTCTCTTCTCCATCGGCTCACCTATCGGCGAATACACACGAAGCCGGTATCAGTCCGTGCACCGTATACGAGCCGGCGCGTACCAATATACGAAATTGATCACGTCCATTCAAGGTCTCCTGCTTGATAGAGAGTATGACTGGGCCGAGATCCTCGTCGCTGGTAAAATAATTCCAATGTTCGGTGCCGTAAAAATATTTCTCGTATGTCTCCTGTTCGACGGAGATGAGCTCGAATGCACCCTGTTGATCCCATTGTTCCTCGATGGTTGTCTTTTTCCTAGGACTTAAACATTCGTATAAAATTGTTCAACGAATGTGTGCGGATGTATGTGTGAAAATTTGCGTGTGTGGCAAGGTGTGTTGATGAACGGGAGTTGGCAACGAAACAGTGTTTGCATGTGTGTGATTGTGTGAGCAGGAGTTTATGTGGCAGCATAGGTTGGGGAAGGTAAACAAAATATTGGTATATTAAAAACTTCTGTTTTCTCTCTTTTTTTTAGATTTTTTTTAGCAGCAAAAATCAAAAAATTTATAGCGCCACTTAAAAAATTGGTCGAATATTTATTGTGAGAGTTAGTCTTTTGCTTGTCTTTGGCGAGTTTCGACTACGGGGTGCTACTACATACATACATACATATATTACTCTCTATTTCTTCACGAGCTCACCTTGGCGTCGCTTCAGAGTCCTCATCGTCCTCGTACAGATCACTGCATTCTCTTTCGAGGTATGCATCGCTAGAACTGCCCGCTCGCACGTCTTCGTGCTCTGAATCGCTCTCATCCCAAATGGTATGCGGTGTGGGTAGTGTGATCTTCTGGCGTGAACACTCAATCCAATAGCCGGGCGTCGGCATGAGATTATGTGGATACTCTTCGCAAAATTCATCTGAAATGGAAAATAGATTGGAAATTCGAAGTTAGCTATGAAGGAATGGTAATAAGTGACGTTTGAAAAAATGTCAGCATAATAAGTTTGTTCCGGAATATTTGTTAAAAAATAATTTGTGTTTATACCAGAAACTGGTATAATTTGATTCTTTGATTTCTGTGCAAATTCACTGCAAACTTTCAATCTTCGTAAAATTTTGATAGAAAAAATAAATTGGTCGAAATAAGGGCAGCCCTTTTTAAGATGTTGTGGACATATTGTTTTGGGAAAATAGTTGTTTAGCAATGAAATATCGTGTAGAAAAATGCATTCTTGTTTTATACCAGAAACTGGTAGAAAATATTTTACTAAAATTTTTCATAAAATTTCGTCATAAATATTTCTGTTTTTAGGTTTTGTGGGCATATTTATTTCTCCTAGTCGAATTTAAAATTTTCAGATAAATACATATGTAATTGGTAGCAAGGTTTGCAGTACCAAGCTTAGTAAATAAGTTCGAATATCTGATTAAAAAATCGGAATATTCGGATAACAAAATGAACGAATATTAACCGGATATCCGAAAATCCGGATTTTATGCGTATACAATCAAATGCACGATTTTTTCCGTCCCACCCAATCAATCGATAATACCACGGCCACATTTAAAGACGGTTAAGACGCCTTCACAGGGTAATCTGAAATTTGCCCCCTGAATCGGGAGCAAAATTCATATGTGATATCTTCGACTATTGTAACATCGACGTAGGGGTTGAGGCTTAGAAAATCTGATGTAAAGTTTGTTTCCTGCATTTAAGAGCCACCCTAGTAGTGTGATTTTAGATTTTTTTGTGCAAAAATAAACTGGTCGAAATTAGTACAGCCATATGGAGTAGTTCTCGACAAGTGTTTTGGCCTTAAGTAAATCGGCAAATAGCAATGGGCTATAAAAAATGAAATGTTTACTTTATACCAGAAACTGGTATATTTTTTAGACAAAATTACGCTGAAATCTATTGGTCCTGAGCAAATGGGCAGTAAGTACTGCACTCAATTTCAAATTTTATATTTATGCCACAAATTGGTATAAATTTTTTTTCCTAAAAAGGCAAAATTTTTTTCACGTATATACTTTATTTGTAAGAATTTCTTATATTAATTCTTATTTTTATTTAAAACTACGTTGCGTATTTGAGTCAGAACTGGTATAAATGAGAAAATCTTGTTCAACGGGCTGCCAAAGTTTTCTAAACTTGCCTCACCTTTTTACGTTTTTAATGGAGTCACCTGTGTAAATCTCTCACATATTACTTATATGACTAGACACAACAACTCATTCCCATTCCTTACTATTTGAGTGACAATTTTAAAACTTTCAAAAAACTGGTATAAAGTTCTCTTTGCTCTCAAATTTATAAACTAAATTTTTTTAAATTCACCTAAATTCACAAAATATGCAATCTTAGTTAGGACAAATCTAGTTTATTTTCCAAATGTGCCATCGCCTACACCCCGCCTACAATCCACTCAACTAACCACTAACAAGCGTCGATTTGCGACTAGAAAATCCAATCAACCGTGAAAAAACCAACGATGTGCCGCAAAAATTGGCTGATTAGTGGCAGAGCCACTTACAACATTTCATTACTCGCCTAGTGGTCGGCCAGGCATACAACGTCAGTAGTGCGAAAGCCTGAAAGTATGCCCCATGCTGGAAATGCTAAAAAGCCAAAATGGCGAACATGCATTGCGGCCAAGCAAAATTTATGAGCAGTCAAGCGAATGTGAACACATGAAAAGCCACAATATTGTGGTGAATGGGAAGAGGAGCGAACGGGAGGTGACAAAGAGTAAGAGTCAAAGTAAATAAGGCCCCATATAAGAAGAGTAAAGGCGACTAGAGTATGCAGAGAGGGGGCAAAGGAAACAGCATAAAGTGTAAGCCATACGAAGGCGCTTCTACAGCTATTTAAACATGCATGAAGTTTGGTTGTCTTAAGTTGATCAACGAAGCGTTCATGCAGCGATGGAGCGGGAGGGTAACGAAAAATGCTGAGCGCTTAAAAAAGAACGAAAGAAATGTGTGTAGTTGAAAGGCAAGAGTACTCTTCGAGATATATGCCCGTCAGTTGAGCTGGCAAATGCAGTTAAAAGTTGAGTGGCCGAAGTGCATTACGCAATCGGTTGGATTGATGGTGGGAAAGTAATGCGCGAAAGGAAAGAAATTGTGGATTATGGCGAAGGGGGAAAAATGCTGGGGAGTACATAGAGTGATGATATAGAGGAGTAGTGGCACAAAAAACGCGCTAAGCTTCTTATTTTCCACTAACTTAAAACATGTTGGAAAACATCTCAAACAGCTTCATTTAATAGCTATTAAAAAATTGTTGCATACTTTCGGGCATGACAGCACATCAACCAATTAAATAATATAATTAAAATTCATTTTGAAGCGGCGCATAAACCACGCATACAACAATCTTACACGTCCCGACACATATGTATATTGCCCGCATGTTGGCCGTAAAGTGGTACTTCAAGCACATGTACAACTCTACAATATTTTACATAATAGACAGCCTTTAAGTAGGCAACCTAATTGAAATGATTCATAAGAAATGAAACTTTATCATATGCGCATTTTGGTAGCAGGTTTTCTCGCGAGCAATGTGGGAAGCGAAATGTTGGAAGGCAAGCGACAAAGGTCTTCCACGCTGATGGCACTAAATGAAAGGGAAAACATTAATGAGCTTCCCTTTATGTAACGCGCGCTTAAGTCTTCGTCATGCCAACCATATGTTACAACATTGGCGTGCAACCTTCAACCGCGCTATTCGTTTTCATGGCTACAACCAAAAAGGCGTGTGCATGCACGCACCGCAATCACTTAAGCACATTTTTGTTTTCTCATACGTATTTATTTATGTAAGTATTTGTTTGCCTTTGTTGTTTTTTTTTTCGGTTGTCTAATTAAATCACATTTTGTAAGGTACTACCGCTTTGGTTGCTGGGACGTTTCAAAATGTGCCTGAAAATATTATAATGTTGCGAAACCAAAGAAGGGGTTTGTTAAAGGTATTAGAGAGAATCTGAAAAGCTTATGAATGGCATAAAAAATACGTACTAATAAGACCTCGAAGTGAACGTAAGCGAGTGTAATTGGGTAATTAGTGAAAATGTATGAATGCGTGCAATGCAGATGAAGACGATGCGAAAAGCCAAAATGAATTGAAGATTATAACATTTGTGTGTTACAAATTTTTAGACGTGGTAGCTCAAATTTATATATTTTTCTTTAAGGGGTATAGAAAATAATGGTGTAGATTGTTTTTTCAAAATTGTTTTTATTTAATCAGCACAATTTTTGATCATATTGAAGATTTTTGATGTATTAAAAAAACTGGTATAAACTGGTCGAAATGTAAAAAAGTGGTTTAAACTTACCCAAATTCTTATAGTTTTCAATGCTGCAAGGCTTGAAAAATAACTGGTATAAATTTGGTAAAATTGCCGTTTGGACTGAAAAATATTTCTTAATAATTTAACAGACCTTCGGCGTAATTTTAGAACTAACCTAAACTGGTCGATTGTTTTTTCTAAATATCTTACGATTTAAGTCTTAAAAAACTGGTATAAATATTTTCAAAAAAATGTGTGTCTCAAATGCATTTTTTTTAACTAAGAATTTTGATATGAAATATAACTTGTCGAAACTGGTCGAAAAAGAAAATCGTGCGAAGTCACAAAAGTTTGCGTTTTTTATTTTGTCTCCCAAAGAACTTCAAAATTTAGTCTCTTTCAGACAAGATTTATAGAAATTTCGCAAAATTTGTAACTTTTGATTTCATATGTTTTTGGCACCAGAATGAAGAGAATATCTCTTTGATTAATTGACTCTTAGATTTGAAAGAAAGTTAATAAGTCAACTCTTTGCGAGTCATGAAGTTCTATCCAAGCGGTTTGGTAAGCGGAATTTCCATTTGCCCAGTTTACCAATCTTTTTTGAACGAATCTTTTATTTGCCTGTATAGTTTTTTTGTAATTATTTTTTGCTTGCGTAATTTTTTTCAATTGTTTTCAATAAGTTTTGTCAATTAGTATGAAGTTGGAACCTACCAAATAAGCTGAATTATCAATAATCGAACACTGGTATCAGTTGCAAGATTTTTTTTAAATGCAAAAATTCTATTTGTTTTATGTATTTGCATACAAAGCCTTTATACCAGTGCCATATTTTCAATTACACATGCTTAGTCGTAAATTTTTAAAACTGGTATAAACTTCAAAAGTGGTAGAAACTAATGAAGCTCGTTTTTTCAGACTTACTATCCTTACACACATGCTTACCCTTCCTAATCACAAAACTGGTCTAAATTAAAGGTAAGATTTTACAACTAGTCTAATTAGCAAAACTGGTCTAAGACAAAGAACGTAGTTATTCAACATATTCTACCCTTGTACCTACTATTGTTTTAAACTTAAGATAATCCGAAAGTTATTTCAATACGATCACACTTTTTAATTCTTTTATCCGTTGCGCCATTTGCAACTTTTTCTGTATATGTGATTGTACATTTTACACTTCAACATGCAAGCATTATTCATTTATTTAAACTTTTCAAAGTATCTGACACATAAGTGTCATATCGATAGCGTATGTGGCAAGTATGTGTAAGCAATTTGAAAATAGTGCCACATGAGCATACTTTTTCAATCAATTTCGTTTTTGTACTTCAATCACCTTAATAGTTAGTTATCCATACGGCTTGTCATGTGGCAAGCCAACATTTTCTCACTCCACTATGCTTTTATTTCTTCTGCGCTCGTAAAAGCATTTTATGGCTGCACTTGCTGCCGAAACTTTTTTTTTTCATTTCATCCATTTAGTGCGTATACTTTAGTTTTTTGTAATGTACATCTTTTTGTAACTTTTTTTTTTTGTTTCGCAAGAATCTGTTGTTATGTTATTAAAGTTTGTTAGAGTACTCTTAAAACAACAAAAAAAAGTAACAACTTTT